TGTACAGACTATAAATATATTCATTCTTGAAAATACATTGTATCATTCACTGTATTTATTTCTTTTGCTATATATGTTGCTTACACATCTCGATTGTGTGACAGCATCCTATGACAAATTTTCCGATGTATCTTCTATGTTCCTGCCCTCGAACAGGAGCTCATCCTCAACCAGTTTACTTTGTACTTGATGCAAGGGTCGAACGTATCGAAAGAATTCATACACCTTATAACCGATGAAAAAGGTGCCAATCGCTGTAACACCCATACAGACGCTCACAGTACTTTTATGTAGCCTGTTGAACAGTCTTTCCTTCCTTCTTTTCTTGTAGAAATCCGGATCCATCATTGGCGAATCTTGCTCGATCGCTTGTTAACAAACGTAGTAGTCTTCGCTCACACTGAAAATAACATTACGTAAGTATCACGACGTCGCAGCGTAATATTTTGGAACATAGATAACCTCGAAAGAAGAAAACATTGGAATCGCACGTAAATTCATATTTTTGATAATTTAGTAAGGACCGCTCACCTGACAAGTGATTATTTCAGTTAAGACTTACGTACAGATTAAATTTTTCGTCTAATCGAGTTTTTTAAGAAATACTCGAATCGAAACTGCTTAGAAACAGTATCATGCCGGCATCATACCGCACGATATCCTGAGCGATTAAGTATCGTAGTTCTCCACATGGCGCTACATTTTGCGAAGTTAATTTTGATATTGTGATTGTGGTATTTTGTACATAAAACAGTAACCGAAAATTAATACTAATTTATATTCGAAATTTCGACATTACGATCTGCCAACACATCATGATGAAAGAATATTATTATTGATAAATACATGCCTGTTATTACAGGTAGGTGTTGTGAATGAAAATATAAAATGAAGCATCACAAAAGGAAAATACATTTAAGCAATACTTAAAATAAAATTTATACTTTGTTTTAATTTATAAAAATCTTAAGTGATATTTATTATCTCAAAGAATATTAATATATTTTGATTTAAGTTTTTTTTTCAATTAGAAATGAATTGCTATTTTTAACTATATCAGAGTAAAAAAAAATGCAAAAGTTATCATATTTATTGATAAGAGAAAAGAGCAAAGTTTACATTAAAAATATAATATTAGCAGATGCTTTTACATCAACATATAAGAAATTTATCGCAGCAGTAAAGAAAGTTGAATCTATATTATGAATTGTATGAATTTTATTAAGTATATTTCATTAGATATAAATGTAAAGTTTCTAAAATAGTCCATAATTAATATATGTCAATTTATTTTATTTAGTTGTGATACAATTAAGGAAATTTAACAAAATAACATTTTTTTCTTACATCTATTTACATACATGAGAGAATTGTTGCAGGATAAAATTTGAATTCTCTTCAATTCAAACAGTAAATAATACAATTCACAAAATATACTTGCATTTGCGAACTGTATAAAATTTCGGGAAATTTAAAAGTTTAGGCATCTGAAAAATCGGAAGCATTCATATGAGAAACTTTTCACTAATTTTTTACATTCTTTATATTAAAAAGTTTAAATTGTCTGAGTCACAGCCCTAATATCTAATTGTAAAAAATGCAATTAAAAATCATTCTTCGTCGCATATGCTATATACTATATTTTCAAATAAAAAAGTTTAATAGCAACACTTTATTTGAATCCTCTGCTTCTAATTATCTAAAAACTCATCAAATATCTTTGAATCAATGTCTAATACTATCTCGTCCAAGGATGGGCCTTTCGCGGAGACTGGTAACTCTAAATTTGAAACAGATAAATTATTCATGTATATACATGATGATAATTAAAGAGTTGTTGAAACTGAACTATTATCTTGTAATGACTGAATAAAATAAAATCAATTCAAGATTATTATAGGAGAAATCTTATTTTTATTAATATATAATGTAAAAGGAAAATATATTTTTTTAACTTATGATAATAAAATTATAATAAACAAAAATGAATTTAGCTCAATGTATTTTTGAAAAAAATATATTTGAATATTGTGAATATTATACACTGAATATTGTACGCATATTATGCCAGTTAATGCAAATTCTCATATTCTTGTCTTATGCCATAGTATCAATTGGAAAGTTGCGAAGAACTATTATTTTGTAAAGAACTATTATTATGTACTATGCAGAAAAAAATGACAATCATATCTAAACAAGAAAAGAGGATGCTTCGGTATAGGAAGGTTTCTATCTTAGAAATGAAACCTCCGAAACCTATAAATTCGCTTAGAGTATAATGAAATCTATCGCTCAATACCAAATTCTTTTTTTAGGGAAAGCTGAAAAAAAATCATATTTGAAGTTTTACCAAAGTGACGACACGGAGAAGAGAGAGGCAGAGACTTAGCAAACGAGAATAGATTGAAATAGATTAAAATGAATTCATGAATGTTAAAATGAATCCTTTTCAATCCTGAATGCATTTTTATTCATTTATAGGAATGGCATGGGGTATATTTCTATACTTTTCAATCTAAAAATAATATTATAGTATTTTGATGCGTGCGTGCGTGCGTGCGTGCGTGCATGCGTGCGTGCGTGTGCATCGTGAATACTACTTAATTTAAAATTCTGAAATGCAGTTAGGAAATGCAGTTTTTCAATTCAGTTGAATCTAAAAATAATATCGGCCATTTCTATGCATTTTGAATAGTGCTTAATTTAAATTAATTCTGAATAAGAAATGTAGTTTTTTTAATCCAATTGAATAAAAAAAGCCCATTTACTTAAAATATTATTACATAAATATTATTTAAAATTGTAAGTAGAAAATTTATTGTTTCATTTAAAAATGCATCATGAATGTTGTTTTATTCAGAATTATGAATAAGAAATTTTTCGTTTTAATTTAATTGAATTAAAAAAAAGTTGTACCAAGTATAAAAGTATAAAAGTTGTATAAAAGTATGTCATGAATTCTACTTCATTTAATAGAAATTTAAAAGAAATATTTAAAAGAAATATAAAGAGAACTACATAAATATGTACAATAAATGTTACATATGTAAATTTCTTATTTTCAATTAATAAATTAATCGCTTTGTATGTATATTTTATATTAAAATATTTCCTTTATTATACAGCTAGCGCGTTTTTGGTATAAAATATTTTTTGTATAAAAGTTTTAAAACAATGATTATAGAATTTCATGTAATTACTACTTTAATTTATTTAATTTATTTCATATGTATAAAAATTTTTTTTTATATGCAATCTAATTCATTAATTCATGGATTTAAAATACGGATTCAGATAGATTGAAAATTTCTAATCTATTTCACTCCATTTTTGTTTGCTGGGGTAAACGAGGCAGTGAGAATGGAGGGTTGCCAGCAGCTTTCTTCCTCCACTCTCACTGCCTCGTTCACTCTCTATCTCTCTCGCTTCCGCATCGTTACTTCGATAAAACTACAAACATGATTTTTTTCAACTTTTCCTGTCGATAAAAAAGTGGAATTTGAACGATAAATTTCATCATATAATATTCTTAAATGAATTTATAGGTTTCATCTCTAAAGGCCGATTGTTTCACCTTTTGATAAATTTTACCTGTTAGGTAAATCTGGCAATGTACGCATGTGATTGGAAAGTCTTGTTATTTCCAACAGATAAAATTTATCAAAAAATGAAACAACTGGCACTAAGGCAGAAACTTCCCTATACGGTGGGCATCCTATTTTGCATCAAAATATATCCGTGAAGTATTCATAATATATAATAATTCATAATTTACAGATTTACATTTAAATATTCTCGCTTACATATTTCTACGAACTACTGTTAATTTTATTTATGCTCACATACATTTTCTTTTCTTTGAAAATATATAAATGAAAATATATAAACGTAAAAAACATACTTGGTATAGATCCAGTTGTTTTGTATTCCTCAAGGTCCTCTTTAAAAGCTTCCTCAAAAGTTTCTCGTCGTTCTTTTAATTTTTTTTGCTGATTTAATTCATGCTGTGAAAGTCTCTCTGTGTGCTCGTTAGCTAGTTTTGCTAAAAAAATTAATTTGAAATAAATGTTGATTGAACAACATGCACTTTTTCATCGCACGTACTTACTTTTGAAATTATTTAATTCTATCAATTTCTTCTCTTTGTACAAAGCCAATTGGAACCTGTGATCCAACTGTCTACTTTGTAAATCTAACATTTCATTTAAATCTTCCAATCGATATAAAGCTCCTTCAACTTCTTCGAACATTTCTTGTAAGTTTCCTTAGAGATATAATAAATAATAATTTTAGAAAGATTAGATTTTCACTCGAATTTTAATTTATCATGTTTCTCTGAAGAGAAAAACTACCTATTTGGTCCATCAGATCTTGAATCGCATTATTAATCTTTGGAATGTAAGCTAAAGTATTGTTTAAGCATGTAACATTGTTCCACTCGTGTTGAAGTTTTTCATAAATAGAGGATATCAGCACATCTGCTTCTTGAGCCTTTCCCGCGTTTTCCTCAGCGAGCTCATGAAGCTCATTCCATTGCAGTTGAAAATGATGCAAAACATCTGCCCCAGCATCATAATTTACATTTCTTACATTGGTTGATTTTTTGCTCTTTGGATGCTCGGGAGTCGACAATCCACGTATACTAAAAATCACAATTATGATATTCTAGTGCTATAAAAGTGCTACTCTCTATGTTGCTACATTATCTTTTAAACTTATTTTTATACTATCTTCTAAACTTGTAGTTTATTTTTACAAGTACATGATTTTTATCAGACAAACTACATGATTTATGAATGGTTATCATGAATTTTATCATTAGTGTTATCCATAACATCTGTACACAATACAATAAGAGACAGTGAATATAGAAAATATTTTACCTAGCAGATATACCTTCTTGCACTGTTTGAAATTTGCTACGTAGTGACCCAAACATATTTTACTGACTTGGTGGTAAACATTCGCTGTCTCCGATTCTTTTAGATCCGGCTATCTATAAAGATAACAAAACACTTTTGATTTTCTTACATAGACATTGTATTAGATAAATTTTTTAATATCGAATTCAAGAAATTTTCATTTCTATGCAAAGGCTGCCTTTGTGCGATAAGCTATTGCAATTTTATAAAAATTATAATTTTCTATATACTGTATATGATTATTTATCTACAAATCACACGCATTCAACAAATCATAATGATTCATATTAAATTATATTACAATCAAACAGATCAATTGAACTCGCTTAACAATGTAAATATGCTATTATAAAAAAATCTAATTACTTTATACACGTATTATTACACATTTTGTAATTACAATATCACAATTGTTAGCCAAAAATAAAAGACAACAAGAAAGTTTTGTTTACTCAATGTGAAAAGATACACGTAATTAAAACTTTGGTTTGTCAATCATTATTAATTGACAATCGACGTATATTGCCCGAATTCTGTCATTGTTTACAAAACAATGCATTCAGTATACATTCAGTGCAAGCGTTAACCAACAAACATTGAGTATCTTCTACGAATGATGGAGTAGAAAAACGAAACGTTTGAATTTTAATTAACGAGAAAAAGTATCTCTCTTACATTCTTTGATGGAGTAAAATTACATCGAAATCCGAAAACGACGTGCGAGAACTTTGTCGATAATTTGCCTCGTCAGATTGTCGCGGACATGATGATTTGTTTCTCTCATCTACACTTCCAGATACTTTACACGCTCGGAAACGAAATCTAAACATATATTCAGGCGTTGGAAAGAGAAGGAGCGAATAATTCGAGTGCAGTAAGCACAAAGCAAACGGACTATTGTTGAATATGTTGGTTGAATAGCACGGACGGTTGATCTTGAAGCGTGCTCCGAAAGAAAACAGCTGGATTCAACGAACTTTTTTCGTTACCTATTCGCAGTTGTTGGAAATCTTTGAAAATCTGGAATGTTAGTCCAATATTAATTTTTCGTTAAGCAAATCCTGACCCAGTAAACAATCTGACCATAGTCATGTACATAGCAATTTTGATCAGAAATTGCTAGCAAATCCTATAGGGAACAGAAACTAACAGTAATATTAATATTATAATCACCCACTCAGCAATATAATAATGTGATATATGTTGTAATAGTTGCATTGCTGAATAAGAAATTGTAAGATTAGTGTGATGTTAATGTATGTTCTGTGAAATTGGTTCATCAACTATTTTTTAAGCTTGTATTTTGCAAAATGGTAATATATAACTTGATATTAGATTGGTAACAGAAACTAAATAATATCTGTCAAACGCGATCTTCTGCTCTATTTATGTCAAATTGTATGATAATATATCATAATTTGCTTAATTTTTCCATCAATCTGTCATCATATTTTGTTAGTAAAACAAACTTTTCTACATTCCTGTCAGTGTTTTACCATTGTATATGCTAGATATCGTATATCAATCAATAGTTTATATATGCTAGATATCGTATATCAATCAATAGTTTGTTATCGACAAAATTTATAACAGGCACTTTACAAAATCTATCTTGACAGATTTAAAGCTGAAGAATTTATCATGTGTATCTTCTCGTGTAATGGGAGATTGCTAGGTGTAGAATTGTTAGGTTTAACTTTTGCATCTTCCCAATTTTTATTCCGAATTTCTATGATTTGATGAAATTATCAAAGATAAATAAAAATGTTACAAGTCTCATCGCTGGAAGATATATTAATAACATCACAATACTATGTTTGTGTATTAAACATGATATGCATAGCAAAATAGCTTCAGAAGACATCTCAAAATCAACTTTAAAGATGATCGCTTATTTTAAATTAAAAATTCTAATGAATATCTTCTTCTAACTTTGAGATTACTTCATATTGATCGAGCAAAACAAATGAACGAATTTCAAATATTACAACAATAATGAAACATAAGGACAATTAATGCAGTTCAGTGTATAAGAAACAGAACCATTCAAATCTGTTCTAGCATATTATTTTCATAAACTCTTGGAGAATATTCATAAAACAAATAAAAATATAAATAATTATTTTTCATTCGTACTATCTGTTGAATTAAATAGAATTTTCAATTCATTGTTAAGAGATAAAAAAAAGGAGATAAAGATTATAAATATTTGTTGATAAATGAATTTGTTTATAATGATGCAATATATAATAACAACAATTGCCCAGCTTCGTATTGTTCAAAAAGAAAGAGAATTATTTTATTGGTGTCATCTTTGCACAAAAATTAAATTTAGCCAGTAATAAACTATAAACGACACTATATTTTACAATTTTGCCAAAGCATTTAATCAATTGTTACAAGTATACAGTTCATAGGCTATTGTTCATATATTATTTTTTTATCATTTTTTATCAATTTATTTACAATTAATAATTTTATTTTATATTATTTTAATGTAAACAAAATCTAAAATTTAATAAAAATAGAGAAATTTTCTGTTTCTGAAGATAAACTCGGAAATTTCAAATATCTTTAAATACATCTTGCATTTTTCCACGATTTTTAAGGAAGCAATCTATTATTTTTTGTTTTAGTTTTATTTAGGACATTTATAGATTGAACCTAAAATAGAAAATTATGACAAGATGGTAACAACATAAATGCAAAATTTGAATTTTTGCTTAAAAATTGTTTACAATAATTTATAACAATAAATAATTTTTTATAAAATTCATTGTGTTTGTAGGTTATCAAGTCAATAAAAATGTATGATAAATAACTTCTATAAATCTCGAATCAATATTTATCTTGTTTTATGTAATCCTAGTAAAACTTTTAAAAAATGTTTTCAAGAAAACGTGTTTAAGTCTAAATATTATGTTTTTTTTTTTTAATTAAATTATATATCTCTCTTTTAAAAACTGCCAGCACTATAGTATGATGTCTGTTCATAGTCTAATTTAACATTCAAGATCGTATAATTTCAAGACGCGCTCTACAGTCATTTTATTAATTGGATAGAATTTTATGACTGCTTGTGATATTTAAGATGATCTTGAATTATATAGAAAATCAGACTATGAATATCAGCCTAAATCTCAGTTTGTGTTTCTTCCAACAATTATTTTTAGTCTATTCCTTGTTGCTACAATGAAATGTATTAAAATTTTCTTTCTCGCTTTCGCCAAAATCAATTTCAAATATATAGCTACTTCATTTTAAGTACAGGAAATGTATACTAGTTTAGACAAAAAAACTAATGAACTTTATAACGTATTGGAGCGCACTATCGAGGAATAGGAGTGTACTAATTTCATTCTGATTCAATGATTAAATTTTTTTTACGTTTTTTGTCAGGAACTTACTGATTGATTAATCCTATTTGCAAGAGAGAGTCAGAAAGACAAGTATTCGTCTTCGTTTTCTCCGTTGCGTGTTGGACCGCAGTTTTCTATAGTATAAAGGAGATATGCTATAAGTCTATAATAATAGAGCTTAAAAAACGGATGTCTTATTTCGATATAAGTATTTCTAAAGAAAGGTTTCTTACTGTAACAATAGCTGTCCCCAATCCAACCGATAGGGAGCCTGCCGCTCCCTATCGGTTTTTTGCGTTACTTCAGATTTTCAGTTCTAATTTCGTCAAGTTTGTGAATTTCATAATAAAATCAATAGCATTCTATTCTTAGACAGTCATACCTACAATAATCAAAATAAGCAAAAATTAAAAAATCGATTTATTCCTACAAACTCTTTGTTTTCTCTTAACAACATATGTGCAGTTTCTATATTATTAAGAAAAAAACCGTAAAATACAATTTTTGTGCCTTGGGTATAAAAATTTAAGACACAAATTGGTGAATAATAAATTATGTAATTTGTCCTTATTTTTAAATAATCATTTTAATATCTATTTTTTTGTTTAAAAATCAATAAAAGGCTATTTGACGTTATGAAGTTGATATACAATTTATATTACTAACGAATATCTTATAAATCACGTATATAAATTGAAATTTATTTTGAAAAATATTTCAGTTGAATATCAATAGTAAGATGAATAGGTAAGAGAAGTTTTTTTATACATGAAGCTTATTAGAAGTCTCGACGATCAACTGACATCCTTCCTGGAAAATAGGGAGAAAATAGAAGAAAATAGAGAGAAGATTCCTGAGGTAATAATTTTCGTAATAAATATCTCATGTAGCAAAATAAGATTAATAAGATGCTCATTAGTGATATACTATTAATAAATATTGTACGTTACTTTAATAACGAAATGAAATTTCTACCTTTGATATAAGGCTAGGTTTTAATAATAATCCAAATAATAATCAGCATAGTTAGAAATATAAGGGTACGGTCGAATTGCCACTGCAAATGCTTCGAATCGTTTTTTTATTGGTCAATTAATAAAATTTTTTCTTCTGATTGATCAATCAAATACTTCGAAGCATTCGTAGCAGCAATTCGACCACACTCTTAAACAAATATGAATAACTTACTAATTAATATTAGACATAAGAAGTCGCCCAATTATTGAAAATGTCAAATTGATTTATTCTTATACGTGCCATATGTTGTATGTATATAATGATCTACATATTTTCTCATCTTATTTATTTCACAAGAAATGTTTAAAAAAAAAAATGAATGTTATTATAAATATGCAATTGCAAAAACTCTTGATGTTGAAAAATTAAATAAATATGTAGATTCATGAATGACATTGAATTTTATATAGATAAAACTTTCCCTCATTCTTATTATTCGTATCATCAAAAGAGATTATTACGAAATGCTAAGAAGGTAAATCTTCCCATACCCCCCCCCCTCCCCCCCTCCCCCCGATACACGAACTCTCAACAATTTTTTGATTCTTTATATTATTGATCGATGTGATGTATATGTATAAAAAGATATAAAATAGATAAGGGACACATCTTTCAATTTAATATCCCCTTTAAATATTTCAAGTACTTTAAATAAGCTATTATTCTTTTTAAACTTTTAATTAGCTAATTCTTACGGA